AAATGGGGGGGGGGATGCATCTAGCAATGTAATTTTGCATAGATTGAAGCAAAACCACTTTAGAATGAAGAGTGACATCAGCTCAAACTATCTTTTGCCTTTGGCTCTGTTCTCTTCATCTGCACCTGTCACTTTCACCTGTCATGTCTTTGAATTTGCGCTGTCTTTCTCTTGGCATTTTGCTGCTGATACTATGGCAACCTTCTCTTCCTCCCCCTACCCTCTTTGCAGGGACCACCTGGTTCCCAACCCTCCCCTCACACTCAGCTAGCTCCCAACCCTAACATGATGGGGGCGCATGGACAGGTAACAGCACACATATCTATGTACACGTTCTCTCTGTTTATATGGTTATGCATGTTACCTGCACACATCCCGATATGTTTTTCCTAAAATATTCTGTTTTCCTTCCTCCTCTCCTTTAGCTTTTGTATTGGTTACATGCTGTTAAAAAAAATTTACTGTAAAAAATAAAAGTTACTGTATGTTCCCATATTCAGCCTTTTATGTCTCCTCGCTATGCTGGAGGACCTCGGCCACCCATCAGAATGGGTAACCCGGTAAGTCACATTAAAATGTTTTAAATAACTGTTTATTGACTTTGACTTATTTTAGCACTTGACTGTCTCTGTTTCTTTAGCCTCCAGGTGGGCAGCCTTTACCTCCAAATATGATGGACCCTACACGACCAACAGGTAAGAGACTAATGGGATCAGTGTTTGTTTGAAGGTGAAAGTCCCTTATTTATTTTACAAGTAGACTTCAAATTCAATTCGCCATTGTCATTTCATTTTGATGTGCAGGTCTGTTAAATTTTAAAATTGTGTTATTATTTGGTCAGGCCATCCAAATCTGGCACCTATGCAGAGAATGAATGCTCCTCGAGGAATGGGCCCGATGGGACCGGGACCACAGGTCTGGCTCTTATACTGTCCTAAAGCTCAACTTCACAACTGTCATTCATTAAAATCTGAGTATCTTTTCCTTAGACCCCATCAATTAGGTTTACTTACTTCTAGGACTGGACAATGTAGCTAAAACAATTGTATATCAATGTATTTTACCTCAGTATTTAATGTACATCGTATACGCATACTGTATGCACGTATTATTAAAATAAATTAATAGTTTTATTAAGCAAAGAAGCTAGTATTACATTAAAGACCTTTTATAATGTTACAAAAGATTCCTACTTCAAATAAATGCTGTTGTTTTAAAAGTTCTATTCATCCAGAGCATCCTGAAAAAATTACCAGTTTCCACAAATATATTAGCAACACAACTGTTTTTAACACTGATAATGATAATAAATGTTTCTTGAGCACCAACTCGGCATATCAGAATTATTTGTGAAGAATAATGTGACACTGAATACTAATAATTCAGCTTTTCGTCACAGAAATAAATTGTTTTAAAACATATTTAAATGCAGCCTAGGTGAGTATAAGAAACTATACTACTGTTAAAAAAATTAAAAAATAATTACATGCATACATAAATATATAAAGAAATGTTTTTGAAAACAAATGTAGTCAAATGTAGTCTGAATGTTTATTGCAAGAGGTAAAATACAGTAAAACATAGTTAAACATAATCAAGGCAAGTTTTATGATAAAGATATGATTTTATGATAAAGATTTTTAAGATAAAAATGGTAGCCGTTTATAATTTTATTTTATATGCACTAATACTAAAGTTACAAAAAAAAAACTGATATTTACAAATATATTTTTACTGAAACATTTTAATAGTTGTTTGTTTGAGGAACAAGGCAAGTGAAATATTAAATCAATTGTCTTACTCTTACACCAATTTTCTGAATGCACCTCTTGTGTTTGTTCAGTTTTTTGTATGGCATCCACACATTCACAGTCATTACTACAGCTTATCGGCCGAATTCCATAAATTATGTTCAACCTGTTTTCCTCTAAACTAACTGTGTCCTTGTTTTCTCCTTTCTCATGGTGTCTTCTCGGGGTGCTGGGCATCGTAGTCTGATCCTTGGTTATCATTACAGAGCTATGGAGGAGGAATGAGGCCTCCAAACTCCATGGGCGCTGGAATGCCAGGGGTGAACATGTAAGGACACTCTCAGTCTGTTGTATTTGTGGAATTTTACATTGTCAGGCTGGTCAGGATGTTCAAACAAACAGTAATGTTTTGATAGCACCCAGAGACCCCAGGAGAATTAACTTCTTCCTCTCACACACACACACACACACACACACACACACGCATCTTCTCTCTCTCACACACACACACACACGGTCTCTCTCTCTCTCTCTCTCACACACACACACACACACACACTCACACACACGCTCTCTCTCACACACACACGCACACAGGATGTAAATTGGTTTTCACCAGCTGAATGTCTCTGGCTGTAAAGCAGCAGTGCATGATGGGATACCGTCAGTGTTTCTTTGTAAAGCCATTTAAAGTGGAACAGATACCTCTTTTACTGATTCTTTCTGTCTGATGTTCTTTAATTCCCTGCAGAGATCGTAACAACAGAGTCAAACACCGGGGAAATAAAGCAACTTTTAGAACGATGAGCTCGTTTCTACATAAAAATAGCAACAAAACACTCCATCACTGCGTTTTAGCTCACATTAGTTCATTTCAGTGACCTGATTCAAATAGATTCACTGATTCATATGATTAATGAATCTATATGGTTCACACAGGTCTCTACGTGCCATTTAATTAATTACATTTTTGCAGCAAAATACATTTTAATTAAAAATGTTTTCAGTTTAGTAGTTTTACTAGGTTTTTGTATATTTTATTGTAAAATGCGAATGTCAAATAAATAAATGTAAATGTATAATTTTTATGTTATTGATAATTTTTGTAATCATTATTTTCATTTTTGTACTAATTTGCTCAATTTGCACTGTAGTTATTTTACATTTATTGTACTCATTTTGAACTCATTTTGAACTGATTTAACACATGAAATAAATAAAAACATTAAAATAAAATATAAACTGAATAAATATATGTAATATATGTATAGTTTAATTAGATTTCGTATGATAAATTGCTTGTAGTGTTACTTGTAAGTTGTTTTGGATGAAAGTGCATGCCAAATAAATAAACATAAATTTATAAGTTTTATCCACTTTAAAATAAGGCTGCATAGGTAACTACATTAGTTAACTAACAATGAAACATATTCATTTTAGTTGATGATAATTTTACTAGTTGTTAAAAACATTTACTTATACATTATTAAAATCTAAAGTTGTATCTGTGAATAATATCTAACGTAGATGAGCAATGAATAGTTTCTTTGTTAAAATGCTGTATTGCATTTCAATCCAGTTTTGTGTGTAAATGTCTTAATGTTTGATCAAATAATGAGGCAAGAAAGAGATTGTGCTTGGTTCATTCGTTGCACTGGAAATGGAAGGTCAAGTTGAGAACATTGCATTGTGGGATATGGTGTACTGTGTGTAGAACACAGAAATGCTGTACATACTGCAGAAATAACAGGGGTAACTGATCCAGGCTGGCTGTGTGTTATTTTAGTGTTAATTTAACATGGTAACTTATGCTTGGCTGTGGTGGGATTAAATGTTCATTCATTAAGATGAATAAAGTCAGATTGTGAAGTGATTTCTCAGAGCTTGCTCATGTCTGTGTTTCAGAGACGCGGTGAAGCAGCAGAAGAGACTGCAGTGCTCCGGCCTGCCGTCTGCAGAACTCCACCAGAACCAAACCGGCTCGCTGACCGCACCGCTGCCGGCCCACAAACGAGGTGAGTGTGTGTGTGTGTGTGTGTGTGTGTGTGTGTGAGAGAGAGAGAGAGTGTGTGTGTGTGTGTGTGTGTCTGAGTGTTAGTGTGTGTGTCTGTGTGTGTGTGTGTGTGAGTGAGTGTTAGTGTGTGTGTGAGTGTGTGTGTGTGTGTGTCTGTGTGTGTGTGTGTGTGTGTGTGTGTGAGTGAGTGTTAGTGTGTGTGTGAGTGAGTGTTAGTGTGTGTGTGAGTGTGTGTGTGTGTGTGTCTGTAACTCTCAGGCCATACGTGATGTAGGAGATTGTTTTTCTCAGTAGAACAGTAAAGAAGATTTTTAGCTGAAATCATGCTCCTTGGTGATTCATACAGTGCAAGTCAATGGGTACCGGCACTTTGAGAGTCAAAAAAGCGCATACAGGCAACACAGAATGAATCCGCATGGCTCCTGATGATATTTTGAGATCTTATGAAGCGAAACAATCAGTCTGTGCAAGAAACTGAACATTACTTAACACATTATTACCTGTAATCCAGAGCCTCAGGCAAACGGTTCAGTTCATGAACGAATCATTCTTTTGAACCGGTTCTTTTTAGTGAACTAGTTGAATCAGTTCATTGAATCGGACTGAATCGTCTGAATCAGTTCGCGGCTCGAGCAGCACAGATCTATAAGTTACTCAATCAGAACTCACTTCCAGACGCCTGACGGTCACTGCGACTGGAAATGAGCCGAAACACCGGCGTATCTGATTCTCTGATGAATGAACCGATTCAGTTCCTCCAACAGACACTGAACTGAGGAAACGGTTCGACTCGGACCGAACACCGGTGATCCGCTGATGTGCGTATGCGTGAACCCAACACTTGAATGAAGCGGAGAACTGAACGTTTTTATGGTTTCTCATTGTTTATGTATAAAGATGAGCTGATGAAGACGACTTTATTCACTTTATTTGCTTTAGACACATAAAACATCCACGCTTGACATCATTATTGGGAGCTTTAATCATATAATTGTGTATACGTGACGTCATTGCATGATTATTACATAAACGAACTAGTGAACTAGTGAAGTTCATTGAATCAAACTGTCCAAAAGAATCAGATTTCCCTGTTGACCTGCGGCTCTTGATTACAGGTAATCAGGTAATAAGTAATCTTCAGTTTCTTGCACAGACTGATTGTTTCGCTTCATAAGATCTCAAAATATCATCAGGAGCCACGGGGATTCATTCTGTGTTGCCTGTATGCGCTTTTTTGACTCTCAAAGTGCCGGCACCCATTGACTTGCACTGTATGAATCACCAAGAAGCACGATTTCAGCTAAAAATCTTCTTTACTGTTCAGAAAAAAAGCCTCTCGGATGGGTGAGTAAATTAATAGCACATTGTCATTTTTGGGTGAACTATCCCTTTAAAGAAGCTCTTCTTCATGTGCATGAAGAAAGAATCCTGTGCAAACATGTTTACGGTCCTGAGGCGGCTACTTCCTGTCCTCTGACCGTTGCCAAAGGAAGTGAAGCGTCCTGATGGCATTCTTTAAATCCCTTTCGTCTCTCAGATGCGGACCAACGTTCCTTCATGGTGTGACAGAATCCTCTGGAAATCCTATCCGGAGACACACATCATGTGTAACTCTTACGGTACGCCATCACCACGGTGACCAGACACATTACCACGGCAACAGCTGACTGTTACTGTGTGCTGTTACTCTCAAACAGGTCGATATATACTGTATATGTATATGTATATGTATATATATATATATATATACAGTGAGTACGGAAAGTATTCAGACCCCCTTAAATTTTTCACTCTTTGTTATATTGCAGCCATTTGCTAAAATCATGTAAGTTCATTTTTTTTCCTCATTAATGTACACACAGCACCCCATATTGACAGAAAAACACAGAATTGTTGACATTTTTGCAGATTTATTAAAAAAGAAAAACTGAAATATCACATGGTCCTAAGTATTCAGACCCTTTGCTGTGACACTCATATATTTAACGCAGGTGCTGTCCATTTCTTCTGATCATCCTGGAGATGGTTCTACACCTTCATTTGAGTCAAGCTGTGTTTGATTATACTGATTGGACTTGATTAGCAAAGCCACACACCTGTCTATATAAGACCTTACAACTCACAGTGCATGTCAGAGCAAATGAGAATCATAAGGTCAAAGGAACTGCCTGAAGAGCTCAGAGACAGAATTGTGGCAAGGCACAGGTCTGGGCAAGGGTACAAAAAAAATTTCTGCTGCACTTAAGGTTCCTAAGAGCACAGTGGCCTCCATAATCCTTAAATGGAAGACATCTGGGACGACCAGAACCCTTCCTAGAGTGAATCCCCGTGGCTCCTGATGATATTTTGAGATCTTAAGGTAACTGAACATTACTTAACACATTATTACCTGTAATCCAGAGCCTCAGGCAAACGGTTCAGTTCATGAACGAATCATTCTTTTGAACCGGTTCTTTTTAGTGAACTAGTTGAATCAGTTCATTGAATCGGACTGAATCGTCTGAATCAGTTCGCGGCTCGAGCAGCACAGATCTATAAGTTACTCAATCAGAACTCACTTCCAGACGCCTGACGGTCACTGCGACTGGAAATGAGCCGAAACATCGGCGTATCTGATTCTCTGATGAATGAACCGATTCAGTTCCTCCAACAGACACTGAACTGAGGAAACGGTTCGACTCGGACCGAACACCGGTGATCCGCTGATGTGCGTATGCGTGAACCCAACACTTGAATGAAGCGGAGAACTGAACGTTTTTATGGTTTCTCATTGTTTATGTATAAAGATGAGCTGATGAAGACGACTTTATTCACTTTATTTGCTTTAGACACATAAAACATCCACGCTTGACATCATTATTGGGAGCTTTAATCATATAATTGTGTATACGTGACGTCATTGCATGATTATTACATAAACGAACTAGTGAACTGAACCAGTTCATTGAATCAAACTGTCCAAAAGAATCAGATTTCCCTGTTGACCTGCGGCTCTTGATTACAGGTAATAATGTGTTAAGTAATCTTCAGTTTCTTGCACAGACTGATCATTTCGCTTCATAAGATCTCAAAATATCATCAGGAGCCACGGGGATTCATTCTGTGTTGCCTGTATGTGCTTTTTTGACTCTAAAAGTGCCGGCACCCATTGACCTGCATTTCATGAATCACCAAGGAGCACGATTTCAGCTAAAATCTCCTTTACTGTTCAACTAAAAAAAAAAGCCCTATGTCTCGGATGGGTGAGTAAATTAACAGCACATTGTCATTTTTGGGTGAACTATGGCTTTAAGTTGCAGTGATTTGTCTCTGTGTCTTCAGCGCTCATCATTCCTCTGGTGGACCGTGATGAAGGGAAGGTGATCGCTCTGATTTTGGTGAATTCCGCTGTAATTTCACACACAATAGTGCTGTAATGATCTCTCTCTCTCTCTCACCTCTGAACCAGTGATTCAGTGAATGTCGTGCGATTCCTCTCTTTGAATCATCTGAAATTCGTTATAGCTCGTTATTTTTAATGCGCTGCCTAATGCTGCAGTTTTACAGGCGGCATTAGTCCAATTAAAGTGTTTATTTCTAATTGAGTGATAAAACTTTATGATTTTATGAGATCTTTGAGTGCAGGGGAGACGCTTTATTGCGAGTCATAAAAGAATCGATTGTGACGGATCGGACCGAGGACGTGTTGAGAGAGTCTTAGCAAGTTGGAAAATAGAAGATGGCAGGAAAATAGAGAAATGTCTCGTCCGTTTTGTTGTTTTGCACATAATGACACATCGTGCAAATTGTCTTGCAATCATTGCTCTGCTTGAAAATTGCAGCAGCAAAAATTGGGGTCAAATGTATTTTGTATTTTAATGTTTTTTTTGATTTCTCGTTGTTTATGTATAAAGATGAGCTGATGAAGACGACTTTATTCACTTTATATGCTTTAGACACATAAAACATCCACGCTTGACATCATTATTGGGAGCTTTAATCATATAATTGTGTATACGTGACGTCATTGCATGATTATTACATAAACGAACTAGTGAACTGAACCAGTTCATTGAAACAAACTGTCCAAAAGAATCAGATTTCCCTGCTGACCTGAGGCTCTGGATTACAGGTAATAATGTGTTAAGTAATGTTCAGTTTCTTGCACAGACTGATCATTTCGCTTCATAAGATCTAAATTTATCACCAGGAGCCACGGGGATTCATTCTGTGTTGCCTGTATGTGCTTTTTTGACTCTCAAAGTGCCGGCACCCATTGACTTGCACTGTATGAATCACCAAGAAGCACGATTTGTTGTTTTGCACATAATGACACATCGTGCAAATTGTCTTGCAATCTGCTTGAAAATTGCAGCAGCAAAAATTGGGGTCAAATGTATTTTGTATTTTAATGTTTTTTTTCACTTGAATTTTAAAGTTTCAGTATTTTTAATAGTTTTTTTTATGTGTCTATATATTCAAATTTCTTTTTGTTTATTTTAGTACTTCAGCTTACACTAAACGAAAATAAGAAATGTTGTCTTGCCAGCTCTAAATTTATCACCAGGAGCCACGGGGATTCATTCTGTGTTGCCTGTATGTGCTTTTTTGACTCTCAAAGTGCCGGCACCCATTGACTTGCATTTCATGAATCACCGAGGAGCACGATTTCAGCTAAAATCTTCTTTACTGTTCAACTAAATAAAAAAGCCCTATGTCTCGGATGGGTGAGTAAATTAACAGCACATTGTCATTTTTGGGTGAACTATGGCTTTAAGTTGCAGTGATTTGTCTCTGTGTCTTCAGCGCTCATCATTCCTCTGGGGGACCGTGATGAAGGGAAGGTGATCGCTCTGATTTTGGTGAATTCCGCTGTAATTTCACACACAATAGTGCTGTAATGATCTCTCTCTCTCTCTCACCTCTGAACCAATGATTCAGTGAATGTCGTGCGATTCCTCTCTTTGAATCATCTGAAATTCATTATAGCTCGTTATTTTTAATGCGCTGCCTAATGCTGCAGTTTTACAGGCGGCATTAGTCCAATTAAAGTGTTTATTTCTAATTGAGTGATAAAACTTTATGATTTTATGAGATCTTTGAGTGCAGGGGAGACGCTTTATTGCGAGTCATAAAAGAATCGATTGTGACGGATCGGACCGAGGACGTGTTGAGAGAGTCTTAGCAAGTTGGAAAATAGAAGATGGCAGGAAAATAGAGAAATGTCTCGTCCGTTTTGTTGTTTTGCACATAATGACACATCGTGCAAATTGTCTTGCAATCATTGCTCTGCTTGAAAATTGCAGCAGCAAAAATTGGGGTCAAATGTATTTTGTATTTTAATGTTTTTTTTGACTTGAATTTTAAAGTTTCAGTATTTTTAATAGTTTTTTTTATATGTCTATATATTCAAATTTCTTTTTGTTTATTTTAGTACTTCAGCTTACACTAAACGAAAATAAGAAATGTTGTCTTGCCAGCAAGCTGAAATTAAATAAGTGTAAGTTTTTTTTTTCCCCAGGTAATTTTAGTTGATGTTTATTGTATGTTTCTAATGGTTTTAGTTTATGTTAATAACCCTGCATTCAATCATAAATTCCAAGACAATTATTGTCAAAATCCAAAATATTTATATGTTTAATTAATAATAAATATATCATATTTATGTGGTGAAATATTCATAGTCATTTGTTAAAATGCATAATTTTCCACGTCTAGTTTAAAATTTGTGATTTAAAAGATTTAATTCTCTGAAAAGTTTGAGGTTGGTATGATTTTATCTGTTTGCTCACCAATGCTGCATTTATTTGATCAAAAATACAGTAAAAATGGTGAAATATTATTAGAATGTAAAACAGCTGTGTTCTCTGTGAATCTCTGTTAAACTGTAATGTATTTCTGTGATGCGCAGCTGTATTTTCAGCATCATTCCTCCAGTCTTCAGTGTCACATGATCTTCAGAAATCAGTATAATATGCTGATCTGCTGCTCGAGAAACATTTCTGATTATTATCAGTGTTGAACACAGTCGTGCTGCACAATATTTTTGTGGAAACTGTGATGCATTTTATTTTTCAGGATTCACAGATGAACAGAAAGTTCAGAAGAACAGCATTTATTTGAAATAGAAATCTTCTGTAACATTATAAATGTCTTTACTGTCACTTTTGATCAATTTAATGCATCCTCGAGGAATAAAAATATTAATTTCTTGCTTGTATACAGACAGCAAACGCTCTCTAGTTTGTAGTTTGACTTCATTTCAGTGTTTTAGTATCCGCTCTGTGAGATCAGTAGCCGCGTTCGTGGGAAATGTGTGTGAGTGTGTGTTGAGTGTCTCTCTGGGACTCTTGCAGACAGACGTGGGGTCAAAGGTCACAATGTGACCCCTAAAGCAAATGGAGCATTTCCCCAGAGAGAGAGAGAGAGCTGGCAGAAATAGAGCAGGGAAAAAAAACGTTTGCTGAAGGATGTAATGAATTATGTGATTTATTTGACTTGTGGTGTCTGTCGCTCTCTCAACAGCTCTGCTGTAAACCACTGACAGAAAAAGATGAACAAAACCTCAACATCCTGGAGAAACATGTAAGACACACACACCTACACACACACACACACACACACACACACACACA